TTACGTCATAATCATTGCCAAACAACAGTGAGAAAGGGACAAAAAAACACATGACCAGTCCTGTTTTGTTGGCACAGTCTCAGAGGGTGTGTGTGTTTATTTTCAGTAGGGCTGATTCACAAGGTTGCTAGAATCATTTCACCGAATTCAAAATAAAACATCATTCTCAAATGAATGTTGCGTGAGGATTGCGTTACAATTGAAAGAAATATTGATTGCGATAGCTTATTACGCGTCATAATGCATTTCTACTTCGTAAATGATAATTTCGAGTACTAACAGAAATTATGACTCAATACTAAACTTGCTTTTGGCAGCACTACCAGCTGACTAATGTATGTAAAAATTATGCTCAATCCGTGCGTAACTTCTTCGTGTTCTGAGCGCAGTTTTTGAATCAGAGATATAAATGCCGCATTTAACGAAGGCAAAAAGGCGACTTTAAAACGCGAAGCTTTAGAGCGTAAAAACAGGAATCCAGTATGTGAAAGCGTGGTGATGTATAGTCCAGAACCGGAACCGGAAAGCGATGAGGAGTTTGAAGAGATCTTGATCTTTCTTTCTGAATCAGATTCAGCATATTCGGTCAATAGTGAGGGCAGTGAATTTGAGTGTTTTTTAAAGTTTAAAGATGCAAATGTCGAGGAACGATAAAAAACTTCCGAATAAACTTTATCGACGGATAAGATGCAATCTCAGTGATTTTGAAATAAAGAGTAAATATTATCTGAAAATCACATATTGAACAAGCTTATACACAAAAAAAAATGCCATTATTCTCTGTTCTTTAATCAAACATATAAATATCGTCGAAGGCCCATTATTGAAATTGGAGCTTCTTTCGGACTTCGGATCCACAAATTCTAGATAAGACCATAACCGAAAACTTGAAGTTGTGCTATGGTGTATGGTGTGTCTATACTAGCATTAATGTAAACAAAATACTTATTCATATTTGTAAACCCTTACGTAATAAGTACATGACCCTTTACATGTATGAATTTATTTGAATCTGAATTTTACACTTGCCATACATTTTTTAGAAAATCATACAGTTAAACTTAAAATTGCTAAATTATAATACTTCCCCCTTTACAAAGATAAACACTAATATACTATATGTATTGGTATTCCTGTACTAAAACCAATACAAACGTTCAAATCATTAATGAATACTTATACATACAAAGGCTAAATCCAATCTGATTTGCACCTTAATCTATCTTGAGCAGTTGGTGGTCAGTGTTCACTCGGCTGTCGACAGAAGTAGGCCACTCTCGATGTGTGTCACGCGATCATCTGTTTACTCGGCAGCAACCATTGTGTGGTCCTCATCATTGTTCTTCATCAGCAGTTTTTTTTTTTCGGTCGATGCGTCGTTGACTTTGGAAAGCAACCGTTTCGTGATGAGTGTGTGAGTGCTGACCACGTTTTACGTCCATTGCTGCCATGGAAGTGCCCTGCCCCCCGTTGACGATACTACCATACAATGAAACCACTGGAAGTGGCTCCCGTTCTGTTGGAAGAGGATTAGAGGTATAGCGGAAGATAAAGTGTTTATTGTGTTGTACCTTTTGACTATATTTTTAAGATGTATTGTATAGCGAACCTTATCAAGTAAATTAATAATAAACATGTTGGTGGTCATTATTGAAATAAATATAATGATGATTATTTCCACGTTGTAGCAGTTCCGGCACAATAGCGAAAATAGTTATTTTTTTAACGTTTTTTTTTAAATCAATAAGCGGAAAAGGACATTCTGAGATTTTCGGTTTTTAACATATTTTTAATGTTTACTTGAAAATACTAAAAAAAAAAATATTTTTACCAGAAAAAAAAAACAATATATTTTTTTACAACTTTGTCTCAGGCTTCATTATGATCAAAAGTACCGTTCTAGTGCTAAAATTTAAAAAAAAAATACAAAGGTGCTAGTTTGAAAATTTTACACGATCCAAAATGGCCGAATTTTAGCCGAGTTTCTTAGATTCGTCATTTGGCGTGGAATTGCTCATTTGGGAAAATCAATTTCCCAAATAGAAATTTTAGTTTGTTCGCCGAGATTCCAACAGCCGAGCAGTTCTGCAATTTGTTTTGCTGAGATTCAGTAAAACAATTGCCGAGACTCAGCTAACAAATAACTTTTTGCTGAGATATCAGCTAACAAACAGATATTTTGCAGAGATATCAGCAAAAGTAAATGCCGAGGTAATCGGCTGTTGGAGATTTTACCGAGCTAGATTAAGTGTGTACATACTTTTTTCTAGTGAAGTACCTGAGTTTTTATCTTTATCTTCAAAAGTTTTTTTTTTTTTGTAATTAACGATTATAGGGGAATTTACGTATTCTCGGCAACCTAAGCAGCGACCTTCTTTCTATAGCCTTTTTCTCTAAGGAACGCACACATATGCAGTATTGGTTTGTTTACAATCTTTTGCTGCCAGCTGCTCTAACAATTTCAGTCGAAAGAATTGTCAAAAACTGTTTTGAAACGCTTTTACAAAGCTCCAATCTTCTCTAGTGAGAGCGAGTATTGTCGGCAACCAGTTTTTCTTCGGCAACCGTTCCATTTGAACTGCATGTAAATCTGCTGTTCTATTATCGGCAACTCAAAATCAGCTACAATTTGTAGTGCGTGTGTTTCATTTCAAGAAAACCTTGCTAGATTGCTTTTTCTCAGTGGTAAAAATATAGTCAAATTGAAGCTGAAAGCATGAAGAATCGTTTGCATGCATTCAGCGAAGTGTTTTCGTAAGAAAATCCAGTGAAAATAGTGTTTCAATTTGTGTTGCCGAAAATAGTCTGTCATGCCGAAGCCGTCATTTCCCCTATTTGATATTTTTGCCTGTAAATTAGCCCACTTTTTTCAAACGCGTGCCAAAATGACAAAAGTCAAAAATCATTATTTTTACAATCGGCCAGGTACTTCACTAGTTTAAACATTCTAGTTTATGAAACTTTTATGTATTTTGTTCCGGCTGCAAATCGTCTCCGCCCGCAAACCACTTGACGTCGTGGATGCGACGACGACTGCAGCGCCACCTCAAAGACACATTACAAAAAGCAAAATTTGGGAAAATGTTATTTAAAATATTTTCAATAAAACGCTGAAAATAGCATTCTTCTAATGTTTTTCTGTTCGCCAAAAAAAAAATCGCGAAATTGACCCTTATTCGGTTTCTACACTGGCCTAACCCCTTAAAGCCTTGATAAAACTTGCAATATTACTTGGGTTCAGTCCATATGTCATTAATTAGCTTGTACAACTCATATTTTAACTAAACAACTACAAACATAACGAGATGACGTTCTAGTCATAGTGGATTGGAAAAATGAACACACTTAGTTAAAAAAATCACCGAACACAAACATTACAGAAAACAGTTCAATACAGATCACAATCTTCACCTACGTTAGTGGTTCGTGATTCAAGAGCTTGGGTTTCCTTCCACCTGGTTGCTCCATCTTATCCAAACTCCAAAGTACCGCAATCCTAGTTTCTCTCACCTATATACGTTAGAAATTGTGAAAACGTTTTTTTTTTCATTGATTTGTTTTCCATCGATCTTGTTTTCCGTGCTGAGCAACTGCCTATCGACCCATCACCTTCCGAAGGAAAGCGTGATCAGAGATGTTATGCCTCAGAACATCCCGGCGGCGCTGACTGGGATTGAACCCAGGCCTGCTGGGGTAAGAGGTAATCACGCCTACCAGAAAACGCCTTAATTGGCGATTTTTTTATGTAGGTCTGCTTTTTGTAAATTATAGGTCTTTTGATGTCTTTGTCAGCCTTTTATAATATTACGAATTGCTCAACTTTATCCAAGAAACGCTTTTCCTAGGATGCTCTATTTAAAAGATAAAATTGAAAGCATTTTAGGTGGTGGGAACAAGAACGAAGCAGAAACCATAAGAAGTTGGAGCTTTGTAAATCGAGCAACTTTGTCGAAGACCGTAGAACTGTAGAAAGTATTCCCATGGCTCTGGAGACTTTGACAACGCTACCGGCCTAACCGCCCAATCTGACAGTATTTATGAGAGTTTTTTTGTTCTTTCCATGTTATCAACTTGTATGACATATTGTTTCAAGTTTTCAAAGCTTTAGTGTTCGATTGAAGACAACATATCAAGAAGACTGGCAACTCTCCCATTTTCTCGAACAACCGGTATGAGACAGGCACAATCGCGTCATCTGCCGCTCAAAGGTAAATGCTCCGAACGAATTGGATAGCAAATTTTCTATCCTCAGGTTTCTGTATTTGCTCTTATTTCTATGCGTTGCTGCCATCTTCGCTCGAGCGCAGCGCTATTGTGTCTGTTGCTAGGATTCAGGCAAAGTTGCCAGTCTTCTTGATATGTTGTCTTCGGTTCGATGCAAATACAAAACTAACCAACCATTAATTTCTTTAAAAATATTATTTAGAAGGATATTGGGGGCCTTGGCTATAAGCCACCATCGCCCTACCGTTAATACGGCACTGAAGCCATCCTAAACAGGATAGTCATGGCAAGCAAGTATGTTTGATAAATGCTTTAATAGTCTACTTTTGATGATAATTTACATTTTTTACATAAAACGAATCCTTCAACAAATCTATTATATATCGATCAATTGCAATTAAATTCCATCCGTAAGTCACCTAATTAAAAGCGTAAAAACCTTACATGATTTCATGAAGCTGCTAAAATCATACACCATACCTTCGACAAAGAAGTAGTTCTACATCAATACCTCTTAACCCATTAACGCCCAGTGAGCCATCTAGACCAGCATTTTTTTCTTTTATCAATACCTAAACAGAAATTGGAAACGTAAATTATGTTTTCAATATCACTAGAATGATCATTGAAATATCCTTAATATCTTCTTTTCAAGTAGTGTGAGAATAACCCTTGGAAAAAATCACGCATTGTCCGAAAGTTCAAAAACGACGAAACGAAAAATGAATTGTGATCAGAAATATTTGGAATGATTCCGAAGAAACTGAGATACTGACCTTCACACACAGCAATTTCTGCAATACTCTGAAAAACTGCACAGTACGTACTTGCTGGCACTTTTAAGCTGTTTGCACTATTTTATCGGACTGGAAGTATTTTTCTCGACACTGTTTATGCACTGACAACTTTTCGTTAACTATTCACTTCAAAACTCACAGTAAAAACAAATTTGCTTCTTTTGTTTTGACTCTGATTTCCCTTTTTCCAAATTTATCACAAGTTCACTTGCACGAAACTTCTGCCTGTTGCTGCTGCTTTGCGGCTAAACACCGTGAAATGAGCGATTATTGTAAACAAGAACACCCAACTAAAGTGTCGGGTGGTTGGCGGCGGCGGCGGCGTCATACAGGAAAATTAGCAAACTGTTTGTTTTGCCAATTCTGCCTGCACACACAAACACACTGCAATCACTCGGTTTATTCGCACATGCAAGGTAATTCTTCTGTCCTCCACCCACCACCGACCGTCGTGAGATTCCGTGTCGGTCAATCGGCGGCTTCACGAAAGCACTCTTATTTGAACGAAGCAAATAATGGAAACGGAAAACAAACCAATTTACCAAACGAAATTTTGACACATCCTCACGTAAATTCGGATCTATCATGCTACATGCCAACCAACGGTTCGCGGACGATAATGGCGCTTTGATTTGACAACCCAAATGTTGATTTGCCGGTGCTGTATTGGGAAATATGACTTGAAGGTACAATTTCGAAACCCCCTCTTGACTCGTTCACCCGATCCGAGCTGTGAATCCGTCTCTTGAATCTCTTCTCAAATTCGTTTCCTGGCTGAACCCGCGTGTGGTGGCAACATCATCAACATCAACAACAACAAACGGCTTATCTTTCGGAAATATAACGACACTGAATTCGGGTCCATTACGAAGTCTACATATGTACTACAGAATTACGTTCAGCTGAGCGTTGGGTGGTTTGACGATGAAGCCGTGGTGAGTGTGCAATACTTTCTTACATGTTGTGTTTGCACTAACTCGCAGTGAGTAGGTAAATACCGTAAATACACAACAGAGTGACGAAAATTGGACGAAACGGCTGAAGTTGGCGCTGCGTGGAGCGGAGATAGCGTGGTTGATACGGCAAAGGGTTCTAAAGAGCTGCTGTGAATGGTTTGCGTGGGCTGCTGTGAAGTCTTTTGTTTACATGCAGTCAACAATGGATTCTATTTATGATGCCAACTCGTGATGGAAGATTGAGCAGATCATTTTTGCCTTGCGCGCAAAACCGTATGAGGATTTGATTTAAGTCAAAATTTGATTAGCACCAAGAAGATGATTTGACATTTCGTTGTTAATCAGTCGTTGGGGTATGCTACAAAGACACCGTGGAAGAGTTAGGGCTACACACCCAACAAGCACCCTCCGAAAACGTTTTGTTTATTTAAGAGGTTTTAAACCACAAACGAAGTGACAGACGACTAACTGGCGAAGAAATCCATTTAAATAATGTGGTTCACTTTAATAGAATTTTCTTGGAAGCTTGTGCCATCATCCACCAGATGGGTTAGTTTTTTTGTTTTGATTTGAACAAAGTTGATTTTGTGTACAATGATTCTTTGACAGTGTGCAAAGAGTGCGTATCATTTTGACATTTTTTTTATGCATTTCAGTTTTGAGTAGAGTGAAAGAGATAGAACCAAAACATTCTAGTACATTTGGTGAAAATGCTAGTTCAATCTAGTAGTAGTGTTGCCATGTGGTACAATCCAGTAGTAGTGGTGTTGCCATGTGGTACACTGAAAAATTGCAATAGCAGGTTAGTCACCAAAGTTTTCGAGCTGCTCCGTCTGTCACTTCGTTTGTGTTTTAAACGGCTGTTCATTCCCCTCTACAGCAACTTATTTGTGACTAAAGTTAGTCACATAAAAATGTCCCTAACGTTTTGGGACAAATGTGCTACTAGCGCACAACTAACTGGAGGGCCCCTAATTAAAATGGTATGGTTAGTTTGCTTAACAACGTGTTCCATTTGTGGAATAGTTTGGGTTATCATTCGTTTGTGTTATTTTTTAAATTAAGGGGGATCCATTAAGTACGTCACAGTGTGTTTCATTCTGGAAAAAGATTTATATTTTTGATGGGCCACCCTCTAGTTCAGTTCATAACACAAAAACAAACATCTGTGCAAAGAATCAGCTAAATTGGTCAACGTTAAGAGGTCGCGCCAACGATTTCAATTTTGTTCGGGATTTTCGTCAAATTAGTATGGGAGAAAATGATGACCCATTAAAATCATTCTTACTTTTTTCCTAATGAACCGATTTACATTAAATTAAAATATGTTATACCTAAAACTATAATAAACAAGAGTTGGTTGGAAATGCTAACATGAAGCTTTAGTGTGATGATTTATTAGCTAGAGAATGATCTTTAGAAGAGGGTAGGTGGATAGTTCCGTTAGAGTACGGCAGTATGAAAATTGAATAGAAGTTGAAAATGAGCGAAGGGCCATTAATGCGACAGTTTTTCAAGATATGGAGATGCTCTCGCAACGTGGGGCTTTAGGTAGTGATGAAAACGTCGCTAGAACTATTCCACAGCCGCAGTCAGTTTATGAACAACAAGAGGGACGCACATTTTTGCCTGTGGACTTGGAGACATACTTCAAGTCCCCGCGTACATCGTACGGGTTAGGCAAAAATGTGCGTCTATCTTGAAAAACTGTCGCATTAATGGCCCTTCGCTCATTTTCAACTTCTATTCAATTTTCATACTGCCGTACTCTAACGGAACTATCCACCTACCCTCTTCTAAAGATCATTCTCTAGCTAATAAATCATCACACTAAAGCTTCATGTTAGCATTTCCAACCAACTCTGAAAATCGTTAACTTCGCGTATGAAGTAGCATAAAAAAACACTTTGAATGTATAATAAACAACTTTGTTGAAAGCTGCAAGTCGTTTTGATGCTGCATACCTGCTTTTCTGCTCAAATCAAGGTTTATCTGCAATCTGAGCTCCGAAAGCCAATTTATGTTTTTTGGAACATCCAATCGACTTGCAGCTTTCAACAAAGTTGTTTATTGTAGTTTTAAGTATAACATATTTTAATTTCATACAAATCGGTGCATTAGGAAAAAAGTTAGAATGATTTTAGTGCGTCATATTTTTCTCCCATACTAATTTGACGAAAATCCCGAACAAAATTGAAATCGTTGGCGCGACGTCTTAACGTTGACCAATTTAGCTAATTCTTTGCACAGATGTTTGTTTTGTGTTATGAACTGAACTAGGGGGTGGCCTATCAAAAATATCAATCTTTTTCCAGAATGAAACACCCTCGTCACACTCACAAAAGAGGAACGGGGTTTATAAATGTGTGACAAACAATGTACCGTCAAGTAGTCAGATACCGTGGTTGCTCCATTCACCGTGCTTTTTTAAGTTCTATAAATTTTGTATAATGCTACTGTAACATTCTTCTTCTTCTTATTCGCATTTCAAGCTTATTGCTAAGTACATATTAGCTTATTGCGTGTTCTCAACTTAGTGTTCTAAATGCACTTCCTCAGTTATTAATTGAGAGCTTTCGATGCCAATTAAAAATTGTATATTGTGTGGCAAGCTCAATGATACACTATGCCCAGGGAAGTTGAGAAAATTTCCTACCCGAAAGGTTTCCTCAACCGGACCGGGAATCGAACCCGCCGCCTCCGGCTTGGTAAAACCGTGCCTTTACTGACTAGGCTATGTGGCCCCTAAGTACATGCAGTACATGCCACGAACAAAAGAGAACCCTTTTGTTCATTTCCGGTACATATGTAGTATTCTTGCACTATTTCCAAAGAGTAAGTAAAGGGTGTACGGAATCAAATTGCGTAACTTTCAAATGGCTGTAACTTTAGACGTAGGACTACGTCTTTAATTTCTATACTGGAGGTTACATTAAAAAAAAATCAAAATTCAGACATGTAACGAAAAATCCCAAACACGGACGCAACGATAGAGCGCAACTCGAACACACGACACGTTGCGCATGCTCACATGAGCGAGTTGGTTGACCGCTCACCATTTCACCAATGAAAGGAACGGAGGAGAAAATCAGTGATAATTAAAAACACTTGCCATATCGTTTTCTTCGTCATTTAATTTCGAGCAGCGGACGGATAAGCGTCGGACACGACGCATGAGTGGAACAGCACGTATCGCACCAATACGAAGATGACCAGTGTTGCCACATTATTTCCAATTTAAATCTGTATGCTCGCCGTAAATTTTTTTTTTTATTTGTTTCTGGCTGACAAAAATCTGTAAAATAATCTGTTTAAATACTTAAGTATGGTCTTATTGCGGATCGTTTGTTTTCTAAAGAATTTATCTATTTAAAAGACATCGAAAAAAGGTATTGAATTCGCTAACTGTTGCTCGATCCTATTTACCTAAGTGTACTCAATATTTTTTGTGTGAAAAACTTTGGGATAGTTTCATCGGTATTTCTCTATTTGCAATCGTGTTCATATATTTTATCAACTGCATTGCATTTTGTCACAACACATAACTTTTATTTGGATGTTTAGTAGAATTGCATAGAATATGCTTTATTTTTGATATTACGCTAGTCAAATGTCAAAATATCCAGTTGACTGTTCAACTCACAAGCTGTAATTAATCAGCTTGTGGTTTGTTAAAACGGTTCTTTTACCGATTCGACAAATAAAAAAAAATAATCATAGTACCTGTCACCATGTGATATGGTTAATTAAACAGTAAGAATGGTAAACTAACATCCCTTATAACGAGCAATCACAAATCAGAACATCTAAGCATCAGAAATCCGTTCAAAATTAATGAAGATAATAACCTACTAGATACCTACTCAAAAGGAAGAAAGGATGGATAATAATAAATAGGGGAATTTACGTATTCTCGTCAATCTAAGCAGCGTCCGCACTTCTAATAGCATTTTCACAGCGTCACGCACATATTTGACGTGTCTGTTTGTTTCAATTCATCTGCTGATTGCTTCTCTATCCATTCCAATCGACAGAATTCTTAAAAACTGTTTGAAAGCGTTTTTACAACGCTCTAAACTTCTTAGGTGAGTGTGACTATTGTCGTCAGCCTCTTTTTCTTCGGCAACCTTCCCATTAGAACTGCGTCTTAACTAGCTGTTCTATTATCGGCAACTCGAAATCAGCCCCATTTTGTAGTACGTATGCTTCATTTGAAGAAAAATCTGGCATAACAGGATTGCTCGGTCCTACAAATATAATCAGATTGAAGCTGAAAG